TGTGTGTGTGTTTGTGTGAGTGTATGTTTGTTTGTGTTTGGGGTGTGTGTGTGCTTGCTCAGTGTGTTTATGTGTTTGTGAATAAATATGGAATAGTTAATTTTGTGTACGACCTATCTGCATGCATGTATATATAGAAGAGAATCTGTTTTTTGGTCGAAATTATTGACACGATATATTTATATATCAAAGCACGCACATGTATATTTATATAATTGCAGCAACGTTACCAAATCTGGGGAGGCCAGTGAAGCCGATGAAGCAGCCACCTCCGCCCCTGTTCCCGGAATAGTAACCGGTGTTGATTTGCGTCTCTTGGCAATGGGGTTCGGTGCCACAAACGTATCGTGCTGATATGTTGTCTCGCTTTGGGAGATACCTATATATTTGATACATATGAATCAAAAACGTGGCTACCGGTGTGGCTATTGCGACGTAGGATTAACTACTCCCTAATGAAGTAATCGTGCGAGAGTCGTAATGAACATTATTTATGACGTTTTCGAATTACGTCTTTGCGGCGGTTCACATCTATTAAAAGGACAATAGTATTTAGAGAAATACTGGCATCGATTGATAGGATCATATTGAAGGCGCTCTTATAGAAATACCTGAAATACAGTGCACTTTTCGCGCAATGTTGCCCATGACATACATGGCCACAAAGAAAATACCACAACGTGTGGTGCACTTCTATGGGTAGCTTTTGACAACACAGCTCCCTAGAATATGACAATAGAACTGAACAGCTAATCAGCGAATTGATATCAACCACACACAGTACACAATTCACACCACCCCCATTCTCCACACCTTCTATTGTTACACTCTCTACGCCCTTCTCCAGGCTGCCGGTTGAAACATCCAAATCCATATGATGCGGATCTGCCTCGTGACTCGTTTCAATATTCGCTGTTTCATGGCTTTCCTCAATCTGCATATAGTCGTGCGTAGCATCCGTGGTTGTGCGCATTAATGAGACGCACATACCAAGCAACACAGTGTATGACATTCAATGTACCACCAATGGATGAACTATCGCTTCAAGAGTGCATGCTCGAGGGTTGAATTGGGTGTATGTGTGGTGCAGACAGCTGACTTTGATCACTTCCAGATACCCACCCGGACACACACGTATTGCTGTGATTGTTATGGTCGAGTATATATAAATAAGTATGTGCATTGCAAATATACATGTTGCAGGTGCATTTGATCCTTTTTGTGTGTGACTTTAATGAGAAATATGAAAGGCACACATGTATTGCTGAACGTAAGTTTGTACTCACATATGTAAGCGCGAAGTATGAGTTGTTCATGTATATGCGAATAATATGGTTTTTGTGTATGAGTGCACGTGCTCAGTTAAATTCATCATCAATTGTATAACATTGTTCTTGTGTATGTATATTCATTATCAATTGTATAATAAGGTTTTTGAGTATGATTGTATCTATTCACGTATGTGTCACAAGAAGATATGATGATTGTTATGGTCGAGTATATATATTGCAGGTGTATTGTATTCTTTTTGTGTATGGCTCTAACTACTTCTAGCTGGGTATTATAAGTGCATACAATTGCTGTATACGTTATGTTTTATTGCAAATGTACGAATAAATGTACTTCTGGTGTGTATGTTTAATTATTCAAGGCTTGGTTTTTCAAGTTTGAATGACTGTTGTATATGGTATTACAAACCAGTGTATACAATTGCTGCAAATGACATTGTAAGTGTATATGATAGTTATATATGGTATGTATATGCATATGTATGTGATCAATATACGCATCTACTGAGTAGCGTACTGGTTGTTTCTGTTAGTATGCATGTACCTGCAGATTGTTGTTCTCTTCGAAGGTGAGCAAGTCCACAGCTGCAGACGTGCGTCGCATGCCATAGATAGCTTTATGAGGTACGCCCTATTTCAAAATAGGAGTTTATCCCATCAGTAGAGGTTTAATAGAACAATCAATATACAAACTGGAATGGATTAGATTCGATAAACAACGATGAGAGCGATAGTTTTGATATTCCGTGATTAATCTACTGACATTGCAGGATGAGTTTGCCACCGCTGTGAGACTAAATCCCGAACGATCAGCAAGTTTGAATCATAAATAGTTAATTATTGTAAGCATAGATGACAAATCCGTATACCGTTAGCAATTGCACCGACTTGTGATACTATAGCACAATACCAGCTATTAAATTTGTCCAACCTAGGCATTCACCAGAATGTTTTATAAGCCATTTATGTGCGTATCATGCTTGGATGTATTCTCACACTCAATTTCTTTCGTATATTGACATAAATCGAATACGTAATTGTGAATTAGACATATTCAACAAATACAATCATGTACAAGAGTTATAATCATCCGCCACTTACTCATCTCGCACACACATATTTCAACAAAATATCACCAAATGTCCGTCATGCTCCAACTTACTGTTGTGCATAAAAATACCATTCACAATCCCTCAATCTCTCTCTCCCTCTCTCGCTCACACCTCGTTATCTTGTGCCTGCCCAATCGGCTCAGGCGCACACTCCAAATCAGATTGCTTGGGGGACACCTCAGATTGACCTGAAGGTGTAGGGCGGAATAATTGGCTAAGTATTGGTCATCAGGTAATATTCGTCGTATGATTTGTAGCACATAATTCCTAGGACTTCACGGTATTACACAGAGTCTGCCTGTGTTGCGACTGCTTCGATTTAACTTCTGAAAAAGAAAAACAATCTACACCCATACACCCGCATGCAGCTTAATATCGCTTCCAGCCAGACTCACAAACATAGTGTACTTCCTCAGTAAGATTCCCCAGATCTTACTTTTCGCTTCCTTCGCTGACACATAACCACCTTCTTCATCTTCAGAAGCACTCGAGCCACTGCCGGCGACAGCAACACACGCACCTCCTGAAACTTCCTTACAATACACGCTGCTCTGTATATCATTGTGTGCCTTGGCCTCACTATCCTGACTTTGGTTGTGTGTCTCGGCTTCCACTTCAACGTCACTATCCGGAGTGTCGGTGACGTGCAGTTCTGTACTGGTGATAGGCTGTGTCTGTGTGGGTGCGCTGTCTGCAGCCTCCTCCTATCAGAATGATTCAAAGAGATGCTTGTTGAGTGAGGCAATGTGAATTTAGTGTTGGCGCGTTATTCGATTTGAAATCACAAGTATGACAGTGTGGGAAGTCGAATTCTAACATACGTGTCTAAATACTTGCACAAGCTCGCTTAACACGTGTCTACATAGTTTGTGAACTATGTGCACTACGTGGGAGTGTTGTATAGTTCTGTATGATTGTTGTAGAGCGCGCGGAGTTGAATATGTGTGAACTGTCTATATTTATACCAAGTTCAGTGGAAAGCAGTGATTAAACAGTATATCGCATATGAAACACGGTCATGCATGCATACCTGCCGACTCCCTTCGATCATTTGGCTGCAATCAACGTCACTGAGCGGAGATGGCATAGACGCACCACAATTAATATCCGCCATGTCATTACTCTGTGGGTTTGCTTCATGCTTGGACCCCACGTTTACTGTATGCGTATCTATCTCCTCTGAAGCTTTCTGTACTGTATGTACGTCCTTATCCTCTGCGCTGTCTAGTCCTGCATTGTCACTGTACGTGGGAGCTATTCCATGCCCAGTCGTACGCACTTGTTCAATAGTTTGCGACGAGTTCCCAACATCGTGCACGTCACCACCATCTGCCGCCCCGAGTTTACTTTGCAGCGATCGATTTGCGACTGTATTTGTCGTAAATCCTGTATCCTGTGTCTCAAATACGGCTTTCTCTGTCTCACCTCCAGTAAGACGTGTTGTCCGTCGCACAGTGGGGGTGACATGGTCTTCGGCTTGTGAATTGTGCACCGCGGCGATGTATTGCTGTGTGTGGCCGGAAGGACGCATGCATGTAGTGAGGATAAGGTGAAATGAAACATAGAGTCAATAGAATCGGTTTCTGTGTGTTCAATTCAACAAGTGGCAGTGGCCTCGTCTTCGGGTTTCAAATCGTGCGGTGCAGTTATGGATTGCTATGTGTAGCCGTTAATACACGTGCAAGTATAATTGTGATGATTGAGCAAAACCAGACATAAAGTTGGCGAACGTTGTTACTATGAGCGGTGCGTGTGGCCAGGTCAATATATGTATATGAAACTAAACTATAGGTATGAAAGCATAAATATCTTACAATTCCACTGAAGAAGCTAAATATATGCTTGGTATTTATGCATGAATATAAAGTATGTATATATAAAGTGCGGAAGTGCTCAAGATTGGTTCTTCGAAGCGCAAATTTGAAACTACACGTCGCCTGAAATACACATCCAACGAGTCATCGACTCGTGCACTCCTGGTCACCTTCTAGAGATATAACAGGTAAAACAACTCGAGTCCGTATTCATCTACGCAACCAACGTCAATACTCACAACATCGTATGCGTTGGCCTGTTGTGTTACAACTAGTCAGAGTTTTCCACGATACATCGCAAACATTACACTCACTTCATATAAGTACAATATCTCGATTCCAGGAAGCATGCGCTTAGATCAACGGCGTACCAGATAGCCAATATACTGGTATATGTCGCCTCTGTGGAATTATGTTCGTGAATGCGAACGTGCACTGCTAAGTACTTATACTCTATGGAAATGAATATACTCTATTGCAGCTCGCATACTTCATCTGAACGCATGCTCTGAGGTAAATGGCGTACCGAATCGCCAATAGCACCGTATGCGCCGCGTCTGTTAAGTTCTCCACTGGACTCAGAGTCTCCCACAATCCACCGCACCTCTCCCTGTGACGATTGCTGCTTCTGCATGTCAATCAGGTCTGACATTTTCTCTGTATATTATTTGATTTTAGGATTTGAGTATTAGGTGGTTCAACATTCACAGAATCGAAACATTCAGGGTATATATCCAAAATGGTAATTCAAACATAGAGATAAAACAACCATGTGGTTCGGAATGTCCACAGAATTATATATCAGTGTGTACGTTTAAAAAAAGCTGGGTACTGCACAGGTGAACTCACGGAGCACACATGGCGCTGTCGGCATATATATATATGCTCTCGAAACGAGTCGCACATAATATAACAAAAAAAGCAACATATACGTATATTTATACAAGACGGATATATATGAATGTCCGTGTAAACCCGGAGTATACTTCAACGAAAGCGCCATCAACAACCAAGCAGACACTCACTGGATGGTTGTAAGTACGATGTGAGATGAACTGTCCTTATAGGTACACTCCTAAATTACACTTAAGGTGGAAAATATGCGCAAACCAACTAGGGACGAATATACCCTATGAAACTGTGTCGCGATACTACACAACCGCTCCAACGACGCTTACATGGGTGACTAACTCTACTGTGTCATCACAACTCAGCGTGTCGCAATCTTTTATCGAATACATACGCTGAGCTGTGAGCATTTGATCGTCGATGGCTTGCTGCTCCTGTTGCTTCCTTTCCACCAATTCGCCCAACTTTTCTAAACGATCACAACGACTGGTATAAATGAAAGTACGCATTTACACACATAGGTCAGTGATCAGAGTTGTAATCGAATCCACAAGACGCCTACACAGTCGTGGTTAGAGCATATCTAGGATGGAAGGGTACATTAAGTTAAATGTCAATACGCGAGATTACTCTCCACTTGCGATGTTGATACCGGGCAAAATTAAAACATTCCTACGAGGACGGTGCAGAGCGAGCATCTTCTTATCAAAGCTAGAACAGAGTCATAGATCCTATTCTACGATTGAGATTGTTATACCATACTATGGTAGTGTGCGGAAGTCTTCTGTAAATATCCATTTGTACGCTCAGACAAAGTAATAGTATTTTGAGCTAGTGAACGCTTTCAAATACCTAGACACACTCGTAGTACTGTTTTCGTGAGGATAGTTAATACGACCGCTATATTACTAAATGAGGCTGCCTCATTTTAAACTAGAAAACAATTTCAATTACTTAGACACACAAGATAACGTTTTGATCGCGTGTACAATCATTGCGACTACATACGTGAGAATCACTGAGAGCTTCTGGGTAACCATCCTAGCCTCCAAAATCTGCGCCAGTTTCGCCATTTCCTTGCGCATGGCCACTCCATACTCCGCCCTGCCAACAGAACGCATTGTTACAGACTGAGATACTATCTATGGCATTTATTTGGGAACTACTGCTGCTGCAATTCGTAGTCTCGGTTAGATGTTGCAGTTATGTTACTATACATTTGAAGACTATACTTCTCACGATAGATTAGATGTAACAGACCCAATACGTACTAGTCCTAATGCTTATTTTATAAGTTTGATGATCCTGGTATAAATCAAAGTGACTTGCACCTCAATCGGCAGGTAGATAGCAAGCGGCCGTTTGCTTAAATACTTTAGATTTTATGAATCGAATCAGCGACGTTTAAAGAACCGTCCCCCGCACTACTATAGCCCATACTATGGAACAACGTATACTGCTTACACGGCACGAGCGCTAAAAAAGTGCCACCTATGGTGAGAATGGCACTTGTGACAATGTGTAGCTGTAAGAGTGCGACCACGAGCCTCCAGCGCAAGTGCGTGCACTGAAGAATAGATCATTTGTATTTAACATATAAGTGGGATTACCAGGTGCCAATTGTGGTTCAAGTTCTTTTGAGCGGCGGAATTTTTGCATTGCAAGTGTAAACTGCCTATTGGCTCACAAGTAATCGCACGCAACAACTGCACTACGTGGGCTGTACCATGCGTAAACCTTCATACACAATAAACCTTTCGTTGTAAGAAGCATATAAGGAACCTACAATTCAAATATGTCAAGTAATGAAATACAAATATAAACCGAGAACGAATAAAAATCGGACTTACAATCGAATGACCTCGGATACAAAGGCTTCCCAGTGCTTGGCATCATCCTTTTTGTCAGTAATTCTCGGTGGTACAGACTTCTCGGTGTGAAGTGGGATGGTGCTTGTCACAATCACACTCGGCACTATATGGAGAATATGTAGCATCTGTGTGAGTACACACATCGGAATCATTAATCTGATACAGTGTATGAACAATAGTCCTGCAACTATTTCCTCCGTATGTGAAAATGAATTCGCGTACACGGATGATTGTCAAGATAATTTACAATTATATATATACATATACATACATAC